ATTAAACATATCTATTAAGAAAGAGATAAATGTGCAAACTTTGTGGCCTCCTTTGCCCTCTCTATGGATAGGAATGTGCATGATTTGGATCTTCCATCAAACAATTTGAAGAAGTTTGTGTGTTTTTTTTTGTGGGAGGGGGGTTTGTGGTTTTTGAACTTGTACGTTTTAGATGTGGGTAATGAATTGGACAATTGATTATATTCACTAACCGTCTTAAGTGCGAGAGGTTAGCAAAAATAATTTCATTCAAAAAAAGAAAGACCCAACTAGAATCTGATGCTACAAATAAGAATATGACCAATGTTTAGAGTATTGTCTTGCAAAAGCCTCTTCAAATAATTTAGTGGAAGATTCAAATCATGCACATTCCTATTCATATAGAGGGTTAAGGAGGCCAAAAATTTCACACATTTATTTCCTTATCGTTAGATATGTTCAATCTCAACTTTATACTTATAAAGGGTTTGTGGTTTTTAGACTTACACATTTTAGTCATGTGGTTAATAAATTTGATGAGCAAGAGAGGTTGGTAAAAAGAATTTCATTCAAAAAAAGAAAGACCCAACTAAAATCTGGTATTTCGAATAATATAACCAACATCTAGAGTATCGTCTTGCACAAACTTCTTCAAATTGTTTGATGGAAGATCCAAATCATGCACATTCCTATCCATAGAGAGGGCAAAGGAGGCCACAAAGTTTGCACATTTATCTCTTTCTTGATAGATATGTTTAATCTCAAGTTGTCACTTTCTTGTAGGAAAAAGTGGATCTGCCCAATCAAATGACTATTGGCATTTGGTATCATGTGTTAATAGTTCCATGACTAGCATATAGTCAATATCTTGCTTAACATTTCTCAATCTCTACTACTATGATGGAGGGAGTTTGAGGCCGGTGATGGAAACAATGATCCTTAATGATGATATAGTGTGAAAACCAAAGTCTCCAAGAGAGCACTAGAGTAGCAGGGTCAGCTCTTTTCCTTGTTAATCCTTAATGATAGTGATCTTTATAGATGGGATGAAGGAAGAAGATGGAGAAAAGAGATAGTTAAGAGAGAGGGGGAGAGAATCCAAGATAAATGAATGAACGCCACCTATCTTTCATTTGGTCAAATTTTAATTTTAGTGGTCAACATGTCACATATTTCATAGTGAGGCAAAATTACTTCATTTTGAAAAGTTATAAGGTAAAATTGTTTCAATTAAAAGATAAGAGTGCTTAGCGCTTTTTTTTTTTTAAAAAACTTTTAAGGTATTATATTTTTGCTCCTAAACTTTTTTTTAAAAGGATCAGGATCTTAGGTTAACTCCTTTTCATTTTTGAAAACCTTGGCTTTTATTACATTTTGAAAAATAATTATGCAAACAATGTTTTTTAGAATAAAATTTACATTTTATTTTCTAAAAGACATTTTTTAATAAGGTAATTAGTCTTTTTACTTTTAAACATAATTTCTTCTAAGGACATGGCCCTGTGAGGTTTAATTAAAACAAGGAAAAATTGCATCCAATGACATGTGAAGAAAATTATTCATTAATAAGAATCAATAATAAGTCATAATTTTTTAAAAAAATAAGTTAATGTTCTCATTTTAACAATGATTTATTTTATATTAATTTTTGTTTGTAAATAATTTTTTTCATAGGTCCTTGAATGTAATTTTCTTTTGAAACACTAGTTTTTTCATCATTGTTGTTGGCACACTGCTACTAACCGTCAGAGCTTTGTTACTAATGGGCTAATCATCATTACTGGTGTCCAAACTTAGAGTTGGTAATTCAAACTACTGATTAATTTAAATAAATTTAAAAAATTTTAAATCGAGGCTTCAAAATAAAAAAAAAAATCCTCTTCAAGTTTATTCAAGCTCAAACTGAAAACATTCAGACCAATTCATGCTGAGCCCAAATATCCTGTTTTATTTTTTCCAAAAAAAAAAAGGAGCTACCGGGGTTGTTCTTCTTCTTTCTTCTCCGCTTGCCCTGCCTTCCTTTTCAGGTCATTCATAATCATAATGTTCTTCTTCAAGCTTCATTCAGATCATTGTTCTTCTTCAGATATAGAAACGCACGCATCCTCTTCTTTCTAGTTTCTTCTTCCCGGTACGAACGCGTCCTCTTCTAGTCTTCTTTCTTCTTCAGTCTTCACTCGCCTCTCACAACCCAACAGCTTCACTCTTCTATTCCTTCAGCTCAGTCGTTTCACAGATGGTGACCTTCGGTTCGCTCGCGGCAGCACCTCCGGCTTAGATTGTTTTCTTCAACCTCAGATCGAATTTTAGGGCCCATCACGACTCATGATCTGCACCTCCTCAGCTTTGTTCATCTGTATCTTCCTTCATCTAAGCAACCATTATATCCAGTTGCATCATTTTTTTCGTTTGCCTTCATGTCGTATTTCGAGTCACGCAAGCCCTCTTTTACTTTGCCTTTGTTCTTCTTCACCCCCAGAGGCCAGAACATTTGTTTTCTATTTTTATTTTGCTTTTTTTAAAAAAAAAAAAATCTGAAGCTAAAGAAATATGCTGCTGAATTTATTTTTGTATATATATTTAATCTTCTAGAACCTGCTACTGAAATATTTTATTGGTTAAAGATACAAATGTGCCCACCGATTATTTGTTTAGAATCATTAGGTAGCTCATATTATGAGATGACACAAAATAAATTTTCAACTTTTAAAAATAGAGTATCTAGCTGTCTCTGTTAATTTTTATTCAACTGATGTTAACTTCAATGTAGGGCCCAAAAAATTGGATTGAGAATGACACGTAGCACTCAACCTCAACATGTGTAAGGGTGTAAATTTAGTCATGAACTATTTTTCAAACAGTACTGGGTAATCTCTATTATAAAAAATGGACCATCCAATACCTTTCCATCATTTTTGACCAAATATTATTTATTTTCAGACTTGTGAGACTCATGACGCGTCAATCTCTTTAATTTTATTGCTTTCATTTTCAATTTCAACTTGAAAAGAAAAAATTTAAAGAGTTCTTATCTGAACACATTAATGAAAAAGATGCTAATGAAGTAAAAGAAGACGAAGAAGATAAGGTCTTGTTTCAATATATGTGGTAATTCAATTCAAACTTTTCTCATACATAGTAGTATCATAATTCAAATTGCAACTTTATTTGAATTGCCACGAAGAGTTAAATAAAATATTGTCTTCTTCCTCTTCTTCTTTTACTTCGTTAGCATCGTTCTCGTAAATGTCTTCAGGTAATAATTCTTTAAACTTCTTTTTCTTGAGCTAAGATTAAGAAGGAATGCAAGAAGATTGAAGAGATTGACACGTTGTGAATCTCAGACATTTGAAAGTAAATAGCATTTGGTCAAAATTAATAAAAAAGTATTGAATGATCCTTTTTTATAGTGAAATCTACTTGGTGCTCTTCAAAAAATAATTCATGACTAAATTTGTAATTTTATTTGTTAAAGTGAAATGCCATGAGTCATTTCAGTCAAAAATTTGTGAGCCTCACATGGAAGTTGACGTGTGTTAAATAAAAATTAATGGAGATTATTGGATGCTATGCTTTTTAAAGTTGAGAATTTATTTTACATCATTTCATAATATAAATTACCTAGTTCTCTTGAAAAAAATAATTGGTAACCAAATTTGCTTCTTTACCTCATTTTATTTTGTTCCTTCGTATCTTTGTTTGAAAAAGGGAAAAATAAAATTGACCCTTTGATTTACCAAAATATTGATAACCACTATATCAATTAATTCCTTTGATAAAGTCATGAAAAATAATATATATTATAAATTTAGTTTATAATCTTTTCTTTGAATGTCGTTAATTTTGCAAGAGCTGTTGCTAATGCCCTATCGTAAAGTTGTCAAGAATTCGAACAGCTTTTCAATATTATACTATTAATTCAAACACAAGTCAAATAATAAGTTGTCAAAGTTCAAATAACAACTTGTCAATATCAAATTACGACTTGTCATCTTAAACTTGTTAACTATTATTGACCATCTGACCAGGGTGGGACCTCCAGCGGCCAACAATCCAGCCATCAAAGATGATGGTGGTCAGCTTGCCGACGAGATGGTTGGTTTGTCTTTTTTTAAATTAAGGGCAGATGGTGGTCAGCGTGCCGCCGAGATGGTAGGTTTGTCTTTTTTTTAAATTAAGGGCATTTAAATAATTAAATCTCAAAACATACTGAAATAGTTACCGCCCATTTAGGTATACATAAAATTATAGTAATGTTAAAATTTGAAGTTTAATTATTGCTCAAACCAAATTCAGAATAAATTTTGGGATGTGAGGTAGAATTGAATGTTTTGGACAGGAGACTTGTGCTTACCATATTTTGGAAATTTGGGTATACTTCATGCGTGACATATCTCAAAATTTGGATGATGCATTCGTTTGCTTCTAATATATTAGTGGTTTGGCTTGGATGATCGTTCTTGATCCAATATATTGTGAAGATGATTGAACCAGGCATGTTAATTGAATCGGAAGTGTTCAAGAGATCAAACTGCAGATTTTAACTTCCTAAAGAATGAGAAGTACCGTTAACCAATGTGCCATCAATAAATTTTTTTTAAAAAATTGCAATATTATTTATCAGTTTTGAATGAAATAGGACTAATCATGGTCGAATTCTTCAAAATACACAAATGGACAAAACTTAGGTTCATTATGTTATGTAAAGATAATACTGAATACTTGAATTTTATTATATTATGTAAATCACCGTGGAATGCTACTGATCATGAGATCATTAGATAGTGTTTGCAGAGGTATAGCATATATGGTGGATGGGAGGAGGATGGGGAGGAAATTAAAGTAATGGAGAAGAGAGGGTGAAATTGGGGAGTGTGGGGACTGGAGAGTGGCTATGTGTGGAATTCACACAGAAGTAAAATTATTTTAAAAAATAATTAGTGCTTTGAACTAATTGTTTTTAAAAAAGATGAAGTAACTTTATCAATAAATATAATGTATTTCACAGAAAAAGCAGTCCCTGTACAAGTATCGCATCAAATTTCTCCAACAATGCAAGCATAAACCAAATTAAAAATCCACACATATATATTGAATCCACTACATCAACCTTGTTAGCAATTTTTATTTAAAATAAACTACCAAAACAAATCTGAAACACATATCATGCATGAACTCCACCACAAATAAAAAGCCCAAAACTAGGATGCTATATCAGGTACGTACAGTATTGGTTGGACACAAATTGGGAGTTTCTTAACGACAGTAAGACCGAATGTCTCACTCATGTCTACATCTTGGGCGGATCTATTACTTGTTTTGGGAAGCTTCCAGTCGAACCAATACAACAGATTAGCTAACACATAATCAAGTGATGCGATCCCAAACGAAATTCCTGGACATCCCCTTCTTCCCGTACCAAAAGGAATGAATTCAAAGTCTTGACCTTTGAAATCAACTTGGCTGTTCTCAAATCTCTCCGGTACAAACTCTTCTGGGCTTTCCCAAAATTCAGGATCTCTTTGAATTCCCCACGCATTCACAAATACAGTTGTTTTTGGAGGAATATAGTACCCTCCCAAAGTCACACCTGATGTTGTCTCTCTTGGCACCGAAAGAGCAACCGGAGGATGTAACCTTAGAGTTTCTTTGACCACACATTCCAAGTACTTCATTTGCTTCACATCACTTTCTTCCACTTTGGATCTATTCCCCACCACTCTTCTCACCTCTTCCTGGGCTTTCTTCAATGCTCTTGGATTCTTCATGAGCTCTGCAAAACCCCATTCCAGAGCTGTCGAAGTTGTGTCACTTCCGCCCACGAACAAATCCTGATGATACAATTATCAAAAAGAACCATGTTTAAATAGCTGGTGTAAACTAGCCAGCCTCAGAGATTTAATGTATAACATAAAAACAGATGGAATCATATTCAGGGGAAAAGAGAGATACGATTATCATGGCTTTAAGGTCGGATTGGTTAAGTTCGATATCTAGCAGATCATCTTGTTGAAGTTTGTGGAGAATATCAACGAAGTCTCTCTTTTCTGATTCGTGACCACCCTCATTCCTTTTAGCTGCCTTATGCTGAGCGAGCACCTCATCGAAGAAAGCATCTAATTCTCTAAACGTAGAATTCAACTTGGGAATTAACCCAGTAACAACGTCCATCCATCTCAATGAGGGGAAGAAGTTTCCAAAACTGAAAGCTTGCATTAGGACCATCACTTTCCTCGCAAAGTCGCCAAAGCTGCTTTTACCATCTGCCGCATCAAACTTCTGTCCAAGAAGACATCTGCTCACGATGTTGTTTGAAGTTGCAAGAATCATCTGAGACATGTTTACAGAAGCCCTGTCATCATGCTCAGCACATGCTTGACGAATCTTATTGACCAAATCCGCAACTTCCTCCTCTCTGATGTACTGAAAGGACCGAACCCTTTTAAGGCTGAGAAGTTCAAGAACACAAATTTTCCTCTTGAGCCTCCACTCTTCACCATAGGGTAAGAAACCGATATCCGTGCATCCATAGAGAAGTATTTTTGCAGCTGTGGTTTGAGGCCTACCGGAGAAAATGACGTCGTGGGATTTGGTTATTTCTCTGGCCATGTTTGCAGAAGAAACCACCAGAGTTGGGGTTTGACCTAAGCGGAGCAACATGATAGGGCCATACTTGTGGGATAGAGCTGTGAGAGAACGATGTGGTAGAGTGCCAAGCTGGTGAAGATTGCCTATGAACGGAAATTTTGGTGGGGAAGGAGGCAGGTTGGGGTTGTTTCTTCTGTTTGTTTGGAGTTTGATGAGCAACAAGATGGCGATCATGAAGCAAAAGAGAGAAACGAAGAAGGTTGGGTTTAGCCCAAATACCAAGTATTTCAGAACCGCCTGCAGAAGCATGCTTGTTCTTTCTTCCATGGCAGAAATGATCGGAAAGGCCGACTCAACCAAGCTAAGATAAACAGGAATATACAGCTGGAGAGCTTAGGTGATGGTACATCTAGCTGATAAGCATTGCTGCTGTATTTTTTATTATTTTATTTCCGTCCGAAATTGACAAGAGAGGAACGATGAGTGTGTTTTGGAACCTCGAGGGGGACGTTGAATCAGAAAGAAAAACAAGTCACGAATTTTATGGTTCCATTGGTTAGACTGCGATGAAATTGATAATAAAATAATAATATTTATATATATAAATAAATTTTTAATTTTTTGATGGTGTTCAGGTTCGCGATTTCAAAAGCTAGATATCTAGACTATTAGAATTGAAGACAAAAGCATATTAATACAAACTCATGACCTCGAAATAAAATACTAGAGAAAGTTAGAGATATGCAGTCATATCATAACTTATAAGTTTTTTATCTTAAAGTCAAAAGTTGAATCAATAGAGTTGGAAGAAAGGTGAGAGATTAAGAGTACATTTAATCTTCCTTCGTTTCACGTTCAAAAAATAAAATTTTACTTTCAGAAAGTTGAAAGTTGTTTGGATAAAATATTTTACAGAAAAACACATCTTGAAAGTACATTTAAATAGTAGTTGAAAGTGAATTTCTGAAATGTAACTATTTAAAACTTTTAAAAAGTGGATTTAAAAAGTAAGATATATTTGACCATACTACCCTAAGTTTAATCTCTTATTTTTTATTTAAAAAATAGTTAATTCATTAAAAATATAATTATTATTTTAATAATAATAATAATTAGGTATCAATTTTTTTAGTATTATAAATTGAGTAATTAATCATGTTAATTTTTAGCATTAATGTATAATAAAAATTACAAATCTTTATTACATCTTTTAAAATTACAAATTAAAAATACAAATAATTAGAGATCAAATTTTTAGCATTATAGATCAAAATTTATGTTATTTATAATTTTTATTATATTTTTTAAATATTTTAAATATATTACATTTGTATAATAAAAATTTTAAATCATTATAAATCAATGTCCTTTTTGATAATTGTACATTCAAATGCACATTTCACTATCACAAACCAAACAACTTTTAATGTATCAAACTAACTTTTGAAAAAATATATCCAAACACAAATTTCGTTACAATAATTGACTTTCATGAAACTGATTTTTATCAAATAAACTTTTATCAAATGAACTTTGAGCAAGCTGAAAACCAAACGCACACTGAACCTGAGTCATACAAGAGAGATCAAAAATTAAAGAAAAAAGACACAAGAGAATTAGAGATTGAGAAAAAGAAATTACAAGTTTGAACGAGTAGTTTAAATTTTTTTTCCCTTTAAATTGGGTTAACTTGTTTTGATTTTCAGATAAATTCGATTATCATAAAATTAATTGGGTCAACTTGATTCAAATGTTAAATTAATTCAATTAGTTGCGATTTGATTAGTGAGTGATCGATTGGATTGTTTGGTCTGGTTTGGATTTCGAAAAATTGGAGTGCATAAAAAATTAGAAATAGAATCCATTGTACATGTACTGCCAAAGCGGAGGCTCAAGGAGAAAATTTGCAGCTAACTGGCCTCGAAATTATTATCAATCTTTATTGTTAATATTTATAAAAACTGTCGTTTTCATTTTAGTCTAGGGCCGTGCACTCTTCTCCAGCCATTCAGCCACGTCAGGTTGGACGCCTAGAGGTCAACTCTTGTTCTGCCTAACCCGGCCGAATATATGTCATTTTTTCTAAAATTTATATATAATATTTATTTTATGTTATTGTTTTTGGTTAAAAGTAATCATAAAAACATGAACTGTAATATCTTTTGTGAACGCAAGCAGTGATAGATTTTGATTAACGATAAGTGATCCATTCTTTGCCAATAATTAAGTTTAGGATATAGGATTTGAATCAATATCAATATCATGAGTAACGTAAAATTAGGATATTTCACACAAGGTTTGCTTCCAAAACATTCCGTAAATTATATTGGAGAAAAATTTATATATTTAACTTTATATATTTAATGAATCTAATTAAATTAAAATAAGTAAATTTTAATATTAAAAAAATTTAATTAAATTAAAATAAGTAAATTTTAATATTAAAAAAATTAATCATTTAATTTTTATAGTTTTAACTTAATTGTAATTCAGTTTTTAAATTTTAACTCATTATATTTCAGCTCCATAAGTTTTGATTTGTTGTAACTTAATCCTTAAACTTTAACTCTTGTAATTTAATTCCTATAATTTTAATTGCTTAAATATTAGTTCCTATATTAGATTAAAATTATTTTAAAACTTATTATTAATATTTTATATTACTAAACCCCTTTAATCTTTATAAATATTATAAAAATTAAAAGTTTAAAAACATTTTTAATATTTATAATTTTATTTTTTAAATATAATAATTAATATTTAAATAGTTAAAACTATAGAGATTTTATTACAAAGGGTAAAATTTAGGCATTAAGTTATAATTAAGTTAAAATTATAAAAATTAAGTTATAACAAGTCAAAATTTTAAAATTAAGTTACAATTGAGTTAAACGTATAAGAATTAAATAATTAATTTTTTTAATATTTAATAATATTAATAACACAAATTTATCATAAAATAAATAATATATAAAAAATTTACGTTTCTCAATATTAATTAAATATATATATATATATATATTAAATATGTAAGGTGAAGTATAAAACACTTTTTTCATTATATTATTCATATTAATATCAGGCAAAATTTTATTTAAGGACCATGCTTATCAATCAAAGTCAATAATTTCTGAAAATACACTGCAGATATGAACATCTAATTGAAATTATCTTTTTCTGTAAAATGACCAAAAACCCCTAAGGTTTAACTTGAAAGAATAAGATGCCAACAACATTCTCCCTCCCTTCCCCCCTCTTTCTCCCTCTCTCTGCACAAAATTTCGCCTCTAGATTAGACCCAGCTAACCAATGGGTACTCACTGAAATTCCCAAGTTGGTTCTTCACCATTTCATCTTCAGGAATAAAAACGGTCATTGCAGCATCATCCCTAATTCCATTCATTTGCAAACCAAGAAACTATGCCGTCATAGAGTACCTTGTGGATCTGAGTGGTTCGATGGCTTGACCAAACGAATCGGCGGAACTCATGCCCTGGCTCTTCAACCCACACAATGGATTAAGGCTAGGTCCTTGAGACGCTGGAGTATACTAAAAATTGGGATCGAAGAAACTGTGATTAGGAAAAGCCCACCCTCATAAATCGGCCACTGATTTGGACGTAGTTAAGCGAAATCTCAAAATCAGAATGTGACTCGGTGACGCTCAGAGAGTGGTTATTTAACAGTGCTCATACAGGCTACTAAGGTCTGAGTCTTTCGAACATAATAAAGAAGAGACTCCAAACACGACTGGGTGGATTCCATTTCATCAAGCAGGAGGCTGAGCTACTGATTTTAACTAGATTTACTAAGTTATATTGTCATGATAATGGCATCCTTATTACTTGGAAAACTAAACGTCCTTCCTCTTAATAATCTCCCCAAATTTTAATCACCATCATAAATCCAAGTCATGGCAGGAAATAACAGCTCAAGTTCTCAACTATCTTAAGTACAAAGACCAAAAACAGATAGAGAAGTGACGATGTGACTAAAAAGGCTTGACTTTTCTTCATTGAACTTCTTTTCACTATGCCACTATTGCAATTCTAGATTCTTTAGATCAAATCTGAACTCCCAATCTAGTTCATTCAGCCATAAATGGTCTACTTCGCGTTTGGAGAGAGAGCATGTTTGGAAAAATGACAATTAAATCTCAAAAGGCTAATTTTATTTAAGGTAAGTTTTAAGACATTCTGAAATATTAAATAAGTCCCCAAGTCCTTAAGTAGCATTTTAATATAATAAGAAATGATTGAAACACCCTTATTTGGTTGATGAAAATTTGATGTTGCTCATTCTCTACTTTACCCTGCCCTGCAATTACTTATTCCTTGTCTCTTCCTTGCCCTGTTCGTCGTCTCTTCCTTGCCTCATTGCAAGTGAGTAAAGCTCTCCGTCATCTTTTTCCTGAGTTGTCCAGTAAAGTTGTATGTCATCTTTATTCTAGTCCTGTTTGACATCTCTTCTCTACCCTAAGTGATCACTTGCTTAGATCATTAATCTTTAATCTGTTTTGATCATTAATCTTTGATGGGTGTGACACATTTTCCTTGCCGAAGAGTCTGATAATCATCAACATTCACTATTCTGGTTATGCAGAAATTGCTTCCTCAATTTTTTTCCTTGAGTATCTTAGCTAAAGGTGGACTATGTAGTTTGTACAAGTGAGGACATGCTCAAATGATTTTTAAGTTTGAAGTTATACATTGTACCCAATCAATTAAGTTTGCAACTTTGTAACTTTCTAATTTGTTTTTACAATTTTATTCCTAACTTCTAATATTGAAACGTATTTGTAATGTTCAAGTTATACATTGTACCCAATCAATTAAGTTACCAAGCAACTTAGATACCTAATTTTGCAATTATCTCGAGACAAATTTGCCACTGCTTGTCAAAATTTTGAGTAAGAGAACTATTGAATTCTTAAGAAAATTATTGTTCTAAGACAACGCTCCAGTAATTTGTAATTCAGACACACTAGAATTTGAAACTTTCTTATGAATAATTTGTAATTCCTTTTCAAAATTTTAGATAGAAGAACTATTGAATTCTTAAAAAAGTTACTATTTCAAGACAACGCTCCAGTAATTTGCAACTGAGGCACTAAATTTTGCAACTTCCTTACAAATAATTTGCAACTTCTTTTCAAAATTTTAGGTGGAAGAACTATTGAATTCTTGAACTTGCAAAGCCACCAAACTATTTTAGGACATGGCTTTAGTAATTTGCAATTGACATACCAAATTTTACAACTAACATACCAAATTTTGCAACTTCTTTACGAATAATTTGTAACTCCTTCTCAAAATTTTAGGTGGAATAACTTTTGAATTCTTGAACTTGCAAAGCTACCAAATTATTTTAGGACAACACTCCAGTAATTTACAACTGACATACCAAATTTTACAATTTCATTACAAATAATTTGCAACTTCTTCTCAAAATTTTAGATGAAATAACTTTTGAATTCTTGAATTTGCAAAGCTACCAAATTATTTTAGGACATGG